TAGGGTTGGCAACCTCTTCGCAGCTCCATTCCTATAACCTAAGGACTAGATGGGGAAGTATGTCTAGAGTGAGGGCTTGCTGCCTGTGGATTTGTCGAGACCCTCAGGGGCAGCCAAGACTCTTGAAGGGGAGGGAAGACAGCTCCAGCCTGGGAGCCAGGAGACCTAGCTTCCAAGTCCAACTCTGCAGCCAGCTGTTGGGTGACCTTGGCACAGTCGCATGTCTAGTCTGTTTGGTTATAAAATGAGAGGGTTGGGCTCTGTGGCCTCAGATACCTTCTGTTGGCAGGTGCTAGTCCCCGTGGAACAAAACAGCACCTACCTCTTCTTTTCCCTGCTAGTTCAGGAAGCATCCAGAATCACTAACCTCCCAGGTGCCAATCCCAGGTGCCCACCAGCCGTGGGGGCCAGCAGGGTCTGTGAGACCCAGGCCCACTGCCTTATTCAGCCGGTGCTTTCTGTTATGTGTCTGTGCAAAGGACAAAGATGCAGGGAGACTTGAAGGCCCAGAGAGGGTACCTGGTTGTGCACACACATGTGAACACACGTGCCCGGGCAGGGGTGGGGTGAGCTGAGAACAGACCACATCCTTAGCCAGGAGCAGGGTGGGGTCCCTCCCTGGTCAGGACTGGGTCTGGCTGCTGGGTGGCTTGGCTCTTCAAAGCCACCCCAGACTGAATGGGCCTTGTCTGAAGAGGGTGGGGGAGGGGAGAGCTACCAGTGCCTCTCCCCTCTCCTTTACAAAAAGGGATGCTTGCCCACAGTCCCATGGGGCTTGGCCCTGTCTTGCTGGCCTAGTCTTAAAGGGCTCCTACTCACTTGAGAGTTTCCTCTCTAGTCAGGGATCGTGGGCAGACGGCGTGCCCCTGGAGCTCAGGGAAGATTTAATTTCCTGTGTTCTTCCATTAGCACTGCCTCACAAAGCTTCTTCCAAGCCTCCTGAGTAAACCTCCTAGGCTCACATAATGCAGGCTTTGAAGGAGGCCTTTTAGGAGGTCCCTAGGTTTGCACTCGACTGCTAACCTAAAGGTTAACGGTTAACGGTTCAGACCCAGCCAGCAGTGCTGTGGAATAAAGGCTTGGCGATCTGCTTCCCTAAAGATTACAGTCAAGAAAACCCTGTGGGGTATTTCTGCTCTGTAACGCATGTGGTCACCATGAGTCGGTATCAACTCGAAGGCAATGGGTTTTTTTTTTTTTTTTTGGTATGGTTTTTTGGTCCTTTTAGGGCCCTGGAGTGGTTGTCTGATGGAGGTCTAATCCTGGCCATGCCTCTGGCCCCAGTGAGACCTTTGACAAGTTGTTCATTCTCTCTGAGGAACCTCATATAAAAAATAAAGGATTAGGGATGACCAGGCTACCACCAACAGCACTGAGCTGGGAATAAATCTTGGTTTCGGCTTCCATGTTGCTAGTGACTTGGCTGCTTGCTCGTCACTGCACCTTTGCTCTCTGAGCCCTCATTTCTCTAATGTGAAAGGGAGGTCGTTACAATCAGCCAGTCAGTTGTTTGGAAACACCTTTGATCACTTTCACAAACTTAAAGGCAGGATTTGCAAACAGCATTCTAGGCTCCTGGGGACTGGGAGGGGTGAGGAGGATCTCTTCTGAGAAGAGCCCAGTGCTAGGACCCCAGCCCCTGCCTTGAGAACTTTGAACTCTGATTCCTACAGCCAGTCTGGTCTCCAGGCCCAGTCAACAAGTGGCCAGAGTTCCTCCTTTCCCCCTCTGGGCTGGATGCTACTCCACTGAACAGGGCCTGGGGCAGGCTGGCAGCTCTGGGTACCCGTGAGCTCAAGCATGGATTTATGTGTGTGCAGTTAAAGGCACAGGGGTGACCCATGCTTGGGTTCTGGTCCAGCATGGCCACTTTCTACCTCCTGTGTGACCTTGGACAAGTGACTTGACTTTTCTGAGCCCCTCCCCCCTTTCCACCTCTGCGTTGTTGGTAGGTGCCTTTGAGTTGATTGTGACAGAGAACTGCCCCAAAGGATTTTCTAGGCAGCAGTCTTTACAGGGAGGGTGGGGGAGTGCAGTGGTTAAGAATTATGGCTGTTAACCAAAAGGTCTGCAGTTCAAGTCTACCAGCTGCTCCTTGGAAACTTTCTGGGGCAGTTCTACTCTGTCCTGTAAGGTTGCTATGAGTCAGAATCAACTCGACCGTGATGGGTTTGGTTTCGGTTTTTTGCAGTCTTTACAAGAGCAGATCTCCAGGTCTTTCCTCCATGGAGCCGCTGGGTGAGTTTGAACCTCCAACCTTTCAGTTAGCAGCCCAGCACTTAGCCATTGTGCCACCAGGGCACGCTCCACCTCTACAGAATGGGTCTGTTAAGAGTTCCTAAGTAGTGCTAAGTGCTTGGTAAGCCATGGAGGTCCTGCAGGTTTAGATTCTGGGCCCTGAGGGAATCTGTAGCGGGAGATGGGGTCAGAGCCCAGGAACCCTGCCCTGGGTAACTCAGATTGTGCAACCATGGAGGAGCCTTCCTTCCAGGCTGCCAAGCCAAAGCCACAGGCACAGGCTGTGTGCGGGGGCTGGAATTCCAGCGCCAGCAGCTCAACAGCTCCTGATTCCCCAGTCATGAAGTCATCCCTAACCGGGCCTTAACCCCTGCTAGCTCCCCACCCATACGGGTGCCAAGCTTTCAGCAGATTCCCCCGCCCTGGGGTCAGGGGGGTGCTGCCCACTGCCTTCCGGCTCCCTTCCAGGAATCCAGCCTCCTGCTCTTCTGGAGGTGGAAGAAGGCAAAATAGTCAGGTTCCATCCGCCCCCCTCTCCCTGGAAGCCAGGGGTGGGGTAGTGCAGAAGGAGTCTTGCCCCGGAAGTGGCTTTCCTGGGCCTCTCCCACAGTGATAACCTTGTGCTAGGAACTGATATTTCTCCTAGACTCCTCCATCTCACTGGCAGACACATCAGTGTCAGACACAGGGCTGGTCAGAAGGAGACTCAGGCTCTTTCCACTGTAGCTGTGTGGCGAATTCGCTATGTGACTTGCCCATATTTGAATAGATGTTTGAAAGACTGAGTTACTGGAGTGTGTGTGTGTGTGTGTGTGTGTTAGGTGCTGTCAGGTCGGTTCCGACTCACAGCGACCCCTATGTACAACAGAACGAAACACTGCCCAGTCCTGCACCATCCTCACAATCATTTCTATGCTTGAGATCATTATTGCAGCCATTGTGTCAATCTGTCTCGTTGAAGGTCTTCTTCTTTTTTGCTGACCCTCTACTTTATCAAGCATGATGTCCTCTAGGGACTGGTCTCTCCTGATAATATGTCTAAAGTACGTGAGGCGAAGTTTTGCCATCCTTGCTCCTAAGCAGCATTCTGGCTGTACTTCTGAGATAGATTTGTTGGTTGTTCTTGCAGTCCACGGTATAGTCAATATTCTTCTCCAACACCATAGTTCAAACGCATCAGTTCTTCTTTGGTCCTCCTTATTCATTGTCCAGCTTTTGCATGCATGTGATGCTATTGAAAATACCCTGGCTTGGGTCAGGTGTACTTTAGTCCTCAAAGTGACATGTTTGCTTTTTAATACTTTAAAGAGATCATTTGCAGCAGATTTGCCCAATGCAGTGTCATTTGATTTCTTGACTGCTGCTTCCACGGGTGCTGATTGTGGATCCAAGAAAAGGAAATCCTTGACAACTTTAGTCTTTTCCCTGTTTATCCTGATGTTGCTTACTGGTCTGGTTGTGAGGACTTTTGTTTTCTTTATGTTCAGTTGTAATCCATACTGAAGGCTGTAGTCTTTGATCTTCATTAGTAAGTATGTCAAGTCCTCTTCACTTTCAACAAGCAAGGTTGTGTCACCTGCATATCACAGGTTGTTAATGAGTCTTCCTCCAATCCTGCTGCCCACGCTCTTTTTCATATAGTCCAGATTCTCGGATATTTGTTTAGTATACAGATTGAATAGGTATGGTGAAAGGATACAACCCTGACACACCTTTTCTGATTTGAAACCATGCAGTATCCCCTTGTTTTGTTCAAACGACTGCCTCTTTCATCTACGTGCAGGTTCCACATGAGCACAATTAAGTGTTCTGGAATTCCATTCTTCATAATGTTATGTGTAATTTGTTACGATCCACACAGTGTGCTTAGGCACTGCTGAGTCACCAGGCCTGGGCCCTACCCTGACCTGGGGCTGTCCCGGGACGTGGATGAGCTAGCCCTTTCTGTCTGGCCCAGTCTGACTCAGCTGGGACAGGTGTCCTGGGCTTGGCAAGGCCGAAGTCAGCAGCCCTCTCCCTGCTCTGTGTGACTCAACAGCGACTGCAGCGTAGAACCCTTGAGTGTCGTTCCTCAAGCTGGCCTGTGTGGCTCTGGAGTCGGTCAGCCCCAGATCAAATGCTTGTTCCTGTATTTCTGGTGTTGTCACCAACACAATGTCATATATTTAATGCCCAGGTTCCTCAGTTATAAATGGGGTTAACAATACCTTCAGAGTTATTACGAATAGAGCCTGGCACATAGCAAGTGCTCAATATAATAGTACCTAGTCATATCAATATTTTTTATTATTACTATCTTTGTTATTTTTATTAGGGAGTCCTAGTGGCACAGTGGTTAAAGTGCTCGACTGCTAACTGAAAGGTCGGCAGTTTGTACCCACCAGCCACTCTTCCGGAGAAAGACGTGGCAGTCTGCTTTTGTAAAGCTTTACAGCCTTGGAAATCCTGTGGGGCAGTTCTGCTGTGTTCTATAGGGTCACTATGGGTTTGGTTTTGGTTTTTATTATTTTTAGTTAGCCTAGAATGGGAAGAAAGATGCTTTTCTAAGGTCACAAGCAGGTTAGGGGCTGAGCGAGGTCCAGGCCCAGGCCTCTGCACTCTCGCCTGGCCGCCTTCCACTCAAGGTTCGCCTTCTACCACCCGGAGTTATCTCCTGCACGCCTACTCCACTGCCTTTTGGGGTTTAGGGGCTATTGTAGAAACTAGAGGCTGACGTGTTTCTAGAAACTAGAGGCTGACGTGTTTCCTTTTTTCACCCCTAGATCCGAGAGACCGAAGTCATCGACCCGCAGGACCTATTAGCAAGCCGATACTTCTCTGGAGCTCTGCCGGACGATGAGGATGTGGGGGGCCCCGATGAGTTTGAGCTGTCCGGCTCTGGAGATCTGGGTATGGAGGGCATGTGGGCAGGCCACGGGGCTAGAGGGAATGGTGGCCTCACCCCTTAAGAGGGTGTTCACATCTTGAGACTTGAGGTGGGGATTTTCCTGTAGTGTTCCTCCTCCCCCTCAAAACAAGGGGAAGCAAAAGGAACTGGATTAACCTTTTGTGTCCTTGAGAGCCTCCCAGGTCAAATTGTTCAATGTTTCGTGCTAGTTGGTAGCTCTGGGTTTTTTGAGCACCAGCCTGAACCTGGCCTGGTAGCCTCCTCCTCTTGGCCTGAGGGCATGATGGGGGTGGCAGTGGGTGTCAGGACAGGATGAGGGTAGGGAAGGAGGACTGGTATTGTTTTCTTCCTTTGGAGAGACAAGTACCAGCTCAGGAGACAGGGGGCTTGTGTGGGCAGAGGTGGGGATGGGGAACAAAGAACTAAGCCCCCACTTCAGTAGGAGGTGAGGGTAGGCCAGACCTGGAGGCAGGGACCTTTCTAGATCTTTCTGTGATGGCCTGGCCCTGGCTTTGGGGCCAGAGAGAGCTACTGAGAATGTCCCCTCCCACGTGCAGGGTAGTGTAACACTTCAGAGTTTGAGCTTTGCAGTGACACAGTCCTGAGTTCAAACCTCTGCTCAGTGTGACTGCTGAGCCTCAGTTTCCTAACCTGTAAAATGGGAATAATAATAATAGCACATCAGTGTTGTGGGGTCTGAACTGAGTTAAAAGCTCTCAGCACATACCAAACGCACAGTAAATGCTTTAATATAATGATGGTAATTTAAAGCCATGCTTCTGAAACTTTAATCCCTTTGGGGATCTTGTTAAAAATGCAGATTCTGATTCAGTAGACCCTGAAATTCTGCATTCCTAACCAGCTCCCAGGTGATACTATGGTCCCTGGATCCACACTTTATAGAGCATGGGTGTGTGGAGTTGACAGAACATCTGCCCCACTACCAGCTCACAGATTCTTTCTCTCTAAAAGAGCCAGGGAGTCAGGTCATAGGAGCCCCATTTTACAGATGAGGTGACTGAGCAGTGGCATCACTAGGGGGGTGCAGGCCACACTGGGTGACACCATCAGAGGGGTCACACCAAAATGACTATAAAATTTTTGTGGAGTGTTTCAGCAGAAATTTATTATTTTTTAAAAAAATATCCCTGTAGTTATATAACAACAGCATTTTTCGTAAGCCTAGCTTACATTTGTCCGTATACCTGCAAGGCTAAAACCCTATGCTGATTTACTTTTGAACCTTCTAATGCGCTCTGGTCAGAGATATCATTACCCAGTTACAATGACGCTTCGAATCACATGGTTTCGTCTGCATTCGATACAAGGATGCGCTGTTGTTCTCATTGCTGCTATTTTTATAGTCGTTGATTTTGTCAAAATTTCTGGTGTTTTAGCTACAGTATTGTAGTAATTAGTATAACTTTTTGAGAATGAAGTGGTAATTAAAGGAAAACCCATTGCCATCTAATCGATTCCAACTCACAGTGACCCTGTAGGACAGAGTAGAACTACCCCGTAGGGTTTCCAAAGAGTGGCTGGTGGATTTGAACTGCCTACCTTTTGGTTAGCCACTGAGCTCTTAGCCACTGTGCCATCAGTACTCCAACTAAAGGAAAAGAAGGAGTGATACACGGGAATTATGAAGTATGAGTAACAGTCCTACAAAAAACATTACTAAGGATTCTGTACGGTCTGGTACCGGAGGAGGTCCATGGGCCAGGGCGGGGGGTGGTGCTGACACCATGAGTTACTGCACTGGGTGACACCAACCCTAGTGATGCCACTGCAGCTGAGGCTGGTTTGGGGTGGGAATGATCACTCGCTGGATGTTGAGCATTTGGGAGCTGGGTGTAAGTTAGGAGCCTCCCAGCCACGGCTGAAGGGGTTGTTATCTCAGGTAACCGACCTAACACACAGCCTTTCTGACCCTGCAGATGACTCGGAGGACCCCAGGATCTTCCCTGAAGTCATCCAACCCTTGGTAAGTAGCCACATGCTCTTGCTTCCCTGTCCCCTTGCTCCACTATAACACCTGTTGAGAGAGGCAGAAGGTACAGCCCGCATATAGGCAGAGTATGTGGGGTCTGACCTCACTCTGCACGAAAGCTTTTGTCTGTGACCCTGGGCTCATTTCGGGGCGGGCACAGCTGCAGGTCATAGGTAGGTAGTCCCCCACTTAGGGATAGGCATCCAGCCCCTTTATCTGTGTATTTGTAGCTATTTCCCAGCATTGATACCAAGTTACATATATAGTTCTGTGTACTGTATTCTTCACTTAATGTGCCCGTGAGCATTTCTGCACATTATTAAATGTTCTTATTCATTTTTATAGACTACATAATAGTTCACTCAGTTCCCATTATTGGTGGAAATGTTGTTTATAGTTTTTGATATTTTAAAATTATAACGCAGCAGCAAGCATCTTTTACACACGTGTGTGATTAGCTGCTTAGGACAGGATCCCAGAAGCAAAATTGCTGCCTGAAAGAGCAAGCAAGTTTGGAGATTTTCCCACACTGCTCTCCCAAGTGGTTACTCTAGGATACCCACTGACCAACAGTGAGCAGGAACCCCGAACCCTGAGCCCTGAACCCTAGCTCACACTGTTCATTCCCCATTTGGGGCAGATCTACTAGAAAAGTTGAAGTTAAAGATTTGGCAGCATAATTTTTGAGAGGTTGTTCTCGGTTTCTGCTCTAGGACCACATGGCTTAGCCCAGGAGATGGCAGTTTATCCACCTTGATGAAAGTTCCTGTCCCCTGCCCTGAGTCACTCCCCAAATCAGGCTCAGTGCTTGTCTCTTCTCCCCCTTCTCTCCATCCAGGTGCCTCTAGATAACCACATTCCTGAGAGGGCAGGGCCTGTGAACCGGGTCCCCTCCGAACCCAAGGAGCTAGAGGAGAATGAGGTCATCCCCAAGAGGATCTCGCCTTTTGAAGGGGATGAGGATGTGTCCAACAGGGTGTCCATGTCCAGCACTGCCCAGGGCAGCGGCATCTTTGAGAGGACAGAGGTCCTGGCAGGTAAGGTCCCGTGCCTCTATCTTGAAGGGGGAAGAGGGCTGTGGGGGTGGCACCTCTGGGCAGAAGGGCCCTGGCCCATAAGGCTACTTTTTGCCCCTTCCCTTTGATGCAGCCGCCTTCACCCCCAGTCGGGGCACCCTGGGGCAGTGAAGAACTATAACCACCCTTATGGGGTAGCTCTGGCTGATTATGAGTCCCTGGGTGGCACAGATGGTTAAGTACTCCACTACTAGCTAGAAGGTTGGTGGTTCAAACCCACCCAGAGGCACCTCCAAAGACAACCTGGTGATCTGCTTCTGAAAGGTCACGGTCTTGAAAACCCTATGGAGCAGTTCCACTCTGCACACATGGGGTTGTCAAGAGTCAGAATCAGCGCAAGGAGGAAGAATTGTGAATCAAAGGCTTCTCAACATGAGGCAGGAGGCATTCACTTGCCTTAAGCCTTTCTTGCTTGTTTTTCAAAACACTCCACAGCCTGGGTTTGGCATCCGGGAAGTTAATTATGAAAAGTAACTTCCTTTGAAAGCCTGAAGATTCCTTAAGATAGAATTGGCTTCCCCCAGCAGGCTTTATCATTTGCTATCCTTGTGACCTTGGCTGAGAGCCTTTTGAACTCCATGGCCCTCTGTTTCCTCATCTGTAAAACGGGTACAATGATACCTTGCTTGGTTGGTGTCATGATACCATGAAAAAGAGAATATGAAACAACTTTGCAAACCATAAAGGACTGCTTTGATTTGCATCTATCATTTAATTCTCATTAACCTTTGTATGTGGGTCACAGGGTATCTTCATGTGACAGATTAAGAAACTGAGTGTTAAAAACAGGTTGAATGTTTGGCTTCAGAGCTATTGATTGTACTGTACCATTGAGGGGAAAGCTCTGTCAGGAGTGGCTTCGTCCAGCCTGGCTGGGGGGCCTTTAGCTGGGGTGGTAACTGGCTCTGGCAGCCCTGGAAGTGGGTGTGATCCCCAAGGCTGGGGTTGTCAGAGGGAGCTCCCTTTCTGGCCAGGTTTTCCAGGCATACCACGGCTGGCCCGTCTGGGTGAACTGGCCTGGTGAGTGGTTATCATGGGCCCTGGGAACCAGCTGGACCAGCAGCTGGAAGAGCCCTCTGAGAGGTGTAGGGATAGAGCTCTATGGTTATTAACCTTCAGCTGAAACAGATCTTGTCTGTTTCTTGCCGATGAGGCTTCCTGGGATTTTGGCCCCAAGTGACACATGCCCAGTTCAGCCTTGAACCCAGCCTCCTAGAACATGAGCCAGTGTTCTTTTTAGCTTTCCTTCACTACTTCATGTTCAATGTGGGGTGGGGTGGGGTGGGGTGCCATCAGAACTAGAGAGACTCTTAGAGACCATATAATCTTTTTTTTTTTTTTTTTTTTTTTTAACATTCTGTTGTGGTTTAGGTGAAAGTTTACAGAACAAATTAGTTTCCCAGTCAACAGTTTGTACAGGCTTGTTTCGTGACATTCGCTGCAAAACCCTGAATGTGTCAGCAAGACGGTATAGTCTTGTAGGTAGAAGTCAGTGGTGCAAATGGTTAAGCGCTTGACTGCTAACCAAAAGATTGCCAGTTCAAACCCACCCAATGGCTCAGCAGGAGAAAGACTTGGCAATCTGCTTCCATAAAGATTACAGCCAAGAAAACCCTATGGGGCAGTTCTACTCTGTCACGTGGGGTCCCCATGAGTCGAAATCGACTCAGTGGCACCTAACAAGTCTCGTAGGTTTCAAAGCTACAAGATATTATAGGGGTAAAGCCTCCCCGGTCTTTCTTCAACCACGGAGTTTTGGTTTTAGCTGGCATATTTGGAATTTGCAAGAGGTTTTGGTTCAACCAAGAAAGGTTTCTGCTGCTTTTAACAGAAAATTTAAAAACCATTGATCTAGTCTAAAGCAACTATTTTTTATACATGGGGAGAAGAGAAAGCAAACCACTTGCTGCGGGCCACAGGCAAGAGACAGAACCGAAGCCAGGCAGGGGCAGATTAACCAGTGATTAAGGTATGCATGGGCTTAATTGTGTTTACTTGCTAATCTGCAGTGAGCAATTTCACCACATCTTTGATGCAATGGGGGACAGGTGAAGTTGTACACTGCAGATTTGGTGGGAAGGCACAGTTGGACCTGTGTGTACCTTACTTATTGGGTAATCTGCCCTGAATTTAGCCAGGTCGTTGCTTGGATCTTCCTAGTTGAGAATTACACAAATATAAGATCCTCGAAAAGTTGTGTTCTTGAGCCAGCTGAGGTGGGGCCCTCCATTCTACTAGCTTCTAAACAGCACCTGGGAGTTATCAGGTGCTTAAATGTTATCAGGTGATGCATGTGTCCTCAATGAGTCCCCACAACAACCTTATCAGGTAGGTATGGTTATCTATGCTCTCATAGATAAGGAAGCTGAATAACTAAATAACTTGTCAAAGGTCACAAAGCCGGGACATGGTATACCTGGTGTCTGAACCCAGGCCTGTGGTCACTCTGAGCCTGTGCTTTCACCTGGATCCTGTAGGCAGTCCCAGCACAGACCAAGGGCCTAATGGAGGAGTTGGGGTTGTCGGAGGGAAGGTGATGGAAACAGGAATGGAGGTGAGGCCTGATGTTCCATGTGCTTTTAGTAGAATCCCCTGGGGGCACTTCAGGGGCACTTGGTTGCTGCTGCTTCATAGAACTTGTAGGCCAGAAGGAAACTTCTCTGGCTCCTCTGTGCCAGTCTGCCCCCATTCTGTGTGTAGATTTGGAGTGTGTGCAGGGCTGGAAAAATAATCTTCTTAGCCTGAGTAAGACTGAATTAGGGGACTCAATCTGCCACAGAAAGGATCCTATGAGACATCCCTGCCCCCTCAACACACAGGAATGAGCCATTCAGGCCACCTGGCGTAGTGGAGCGAGAACAGACGTTGTGCTACAGATGTCTGAGGTTAGAAACCCACATCTGCCCCACACTAGCTGGTGCCCTTGGGCGGTGCTCCTTTGAGTCCAAATGTTAATGTTTTATGAAGCAATTGCTGTTGTGCCAAGCCCAATTCAGGCTGCTGCTGTTGTTGTTGGTTGCTGCTGATTCCAGCTCATAGTGACCCCATGTGACAGTAGAATTGCCCCATAGCGTTTTCTCGGCTGTAATCTTTACGGGAGCAGATTGCTAGGTCTTATTTCGCGGAACTGCTGAGTTCTAACTGCTGACCTTTCGGTTAGCAGCTGAGCGCTTAACCATTGCGCCAGCAGGGCTCTTTCCAGGGTGCTAGGAAGGCAGATATAAACCAGAGGTTTACAACGAATGAGCTGTGCTATGCAGTGGACACTGTTCTAAGCACTTTAAGTGGATTAATTTATTTCATCCTTATGACAAACCGATGAGAATAGATTTTTTTTTGCAATGAGAGCTGAAAGAACTTGCCCAAGATCACACAGCCAGTAAGCCAGTAAGTAGAACTAGGCCTTAACCACTGAGCTATATGCGGGAATGTAAACCACTATATATCATTATCTATAACAACAACGAAAACAGTTGCCAATGAGTTGATTCTGACTCATGGCGACCCCATGTGTACCAGAGTAGAACTGTGCTCCAGAGGGTTTTCAATAGCTGGTTTTTCAGAAGTAGATTGCCAGGTCTTTCTTTTGAGGCACCTCTAGGTGGACTTAGCAGCTGAGTACATTAACCATTTGCAGTACCACCCAGGGACTCCATCTCTAGCATAGTACTGTGGCACGTATATATTAGTATGCTATACGTGTGTATGGTAGTGTACACCTGCCTGTATGTAGAAGCTAAGGCCCGTATTGGGATATGTATGCACACAGAGGGAAAGCTAGAGAGCACCAGGCTGCTAAGGTCTGCAGGATAAGTACGTCCAGAGGCATTTCCACAGCCTGCGATTTTCTGGCTTCTGGCTGGCTCAGTTAGTGCTAAGCTGCTGGGGAGTCCACCTGGTGTTTAGAAAGAGCCTGGGCTTTGGACGTGGATTAGAAAAGTGGTTTTGCCACTCTAGCCATGTGATCTTAAGTGACTTAACTTCTTTGGGCCTAGTGATTCCCTTCTCATAAACAGGGTCATGAGGATCAAATTAAATAAGGCATCGAATGCCTGACCCAGGTGGTGGTGATGGTGAAGATGTAGAGTTGTAAGAGCATTGATTGGAAGTGGGGAGGGGGGTGTCTTAGTTAGCTAGTACTGCTATAACAGAAATACCACAAGTGGGCAGCTTTAACAAACAGAAATTTATTTTCTCACAGTTTAAAACCAAAAAGCAAACCCATTGCTGATGAGTCGATTCTGATTCATAGTGACCCTATAAGATAGAGTAGAACTGCCCCATAGGGTTTCCAAGGCTATAATCTTAACAGAAGCAGACTGCCATATCTTTCTCCCACAGAGTGGTTCAAACCACCAACCTTTTGGTTAGCAGCTGAGCGCTTAACCACTGTGCCACCAGGGCTCCCTTCTCACAGTTTTAGGAGGCTAGAATTCCAAATTCTGGGCACTGGCTTGAGGGAAAGGCTCTCCCCGTCTATTCTGTCTACTCTCTTTTCAGCTTCTGTCCCTAGGTTCCTTGGTAATCATGTGGCTGTTTGTGCTTGCTTGCTTGATCTGCTCTTTTATATCTCAAGAGAGATTGACTTAAAAACGCGCCCTACACTGATACGGCCTCGTTAACATAACAAAGAAAACCCATTCCCAACTGGGATTCTAACCACAGGTGTAGAGGGGTTAGGATTTACAACACATATTTTTGGGGGGACACAGTTCAGTCCATAATGGGGTACCCAGGGCCCTACTGAGCAGCTTTCACCCTCACCTCTCTTCTTTCTTCCTCTCCAGCTCTGATTGTGGGTGGCGTCGTGGGCATTCTTTTTGCCACGTTCCTGGTCCTGCTCTTGGTGTACCGCATGAAGAAGAAGGATGAAGGCAGCTACGACCTGGGCAAGAAACCCATCTACAAGAAAGCCCCCACCAATGAGTTCTACGCGTGAAGCCTCCCGCAGGCATGGGCTTGGACTGTGGGGGGAGAGAAGCCCAAGGACTGGGAAGGGTGGACATTAGGGTAGGGGGAGGGCAACCTAATACTGACCTATCAGTGTCTCCAGCTGTGATCATGTTGTAATGTCAGAAGATGAGACATCATCTTCTAGTGTTCCTGCCTGGCTCTTCTCGATTCTTTGGGCCTCAGTTGCCCCAGCAGAAAAACGGGGTTAAACTTGCCCTTTCTGAAGGCAGCCTGAGGATTGGATCATTTCTTAACCTTCCAGCTTAGAGCCTAGGACCTAAGACCAGCTTAGAACCTAGCCTGAATCATACCCCATCCAGAGCCCTCAGAAGCCAGGGGGCCAAGGAGTGTTGCGTGGATCCTGGCTAGAGGTCTGCCCCCGAGCGGCCTTCCTCACTCCTTTTCACAGCCTGTCTCTGCCAGGAATTGGGAGAAGGAATTAGAACCATGTGCACCCTGAGATGTGTCTGTCATTGGGAACTCGGATCACACTACAGGACTCTCTGTGGTATACCTTGAGCCATTCTGGGCTCTTTCAAGTGACTTTTGGAAACCAGCATTTTTTTACTAGGGGAGGGGAGGGAGGGAGGGTGAGGGGGAAGAGCCGAAAGTTCATACTGAAATGGATTTGTAGAGTATTTGTAAACCTGTTTTTGGTAGGTTTGTTTGTTTGTTTTTTAAAGGGTTCATTCCTTCACACAGATTCTCTTTCTGCCTGGGCAAGAGTGTGCTAAGTCTTTATTTAATGTTTTTGTTGGTTGGTTTGTTTCTCGAAAATGAGAGAAGAGCCGGAGATACGATTTTTATTAATATTTTTTTTATTATTTATAGTTACAGATAGGGCCTCTCCTTCTCTTTAAACTCTCTCCCCCATCATTTTTTTTTTTTTTAAACTTCACATTCTCCTGTCCATGACCTTGGCCCTTTCTGAGGCTGCTTCTTCTAAGAAGTAGCTTTTGCTAAAACATAATTTTCTAGCAGATCCCAAAATGTAATGCAGGGGATAGTGGGATATTTGTGCCTCTTGTAATATATTATTATTCTTCCTGGGTTCTAGAAAAATAGATAAATATATTTTTTCAGGAAATAGTGCGATCGTTCTAGTTGAAAGTCGGCTGGGTGGTTGAGTGAGTGGCTTCTGTGTGGTTGGGTGGTTTTTTTGCCTGTTACTCTTGTCCGTTCCTGGTGCCTTCATTTGATTGGGCTGGGACAGTTGAGAGTCGATGGTTCTACCCCCTATTTTCTGCTTTTGGGCCCAGTTGGTGTTCCTTGGTCGGCTTTCTCCCAGCTCTAGACTGCACTGTCCAGTGTGGTGACCACAGGCCATGTGTGGCTATTTAAATTTAAATACATTAATTTGCATGAAGTTCAAGGGTCATTCCTTGGCCACAATAGCTGCAGTTCATGTGCTCAGTTGCCACTGAGGGCCAGTGGCTACTGTACTGCATGTACAGATGGAACACTTCGAACTATTGGACAGCACTGCTTAGAGGACTAAGCTGGCTTAACAAGTCACAGCTCTGGCTTTCCCTGGATGACCCTTGTCTCCCTGGGCAGGGGTGGAGGGCATGGGGGGGGGTGCTGATTAGGCTCCAGCTGGAGGCCATCATCTGGGATCCCCCTTCTCCAGAGAGGAGAGGCCTGGTGGCCTAGCCTGGGTAGACCATGCCTTTCCTTGACCCCACTGGCGGGGGTCGGGGGATCACCCTTCCCCTCTCTATCCAGTGGCCATTAATGAACTCCTTCACCACCCCAACCTAGGGTCCCAGCTGGCTGGGTCCTCTTCCGCCCCTGTGCCCTTTCCCTCAGGCTGTGTTGGGCGGGAGCACCTCTTCTGTAGCCACCTCTCACACTGTTGTCTGTTACTGATTTTTTGATAAAAAGATAATAAAACCTCATACTTTGTAGATGGTCTGCCTTTTTTTTTTTCATTTTTTTTCTTCTTGTTGAAAATACAGTGAAACATACAACAATTCAAGAGTTTCTACATGTACGATTCAGTGACACTGATTACATTCTTCAGGTTATGCCACCCTTCTCATCCCCCTTTTCCGAATTGTTCCTCCTCCATTAACATAAACTCACTGCCCCTGAAGGGTCCTATCTGATATTTCCAGTTGCTGTTGTCACTTTGCTCCCATATAGTCCTTTAAAAGAGCACAATGCTCAAGGCAGGCGTTCTTTACTAATTAAGCCAAGTGCCTCTGTCATTTGAAAACTCGTAACAAGTCACCCTCTGCTGGCTTGTACCCCTTGATTTCAGTGGAGCGTGAGAGAATTCCCCCTATCAAACTGCCTCTGGGGTGCTGGGGGGCGGGGCTCTAAGCAGCCCGGAGAGGATGGGGAGAAGTCAGAAGGTGCTCGCTGGCGGCCTGTGGCGGGTGTATTGTGCCTACCTTAGTGTTCGGTTTAGCTTGTACTGTTTATAAAACAATTTTTGAATGAGCTGCCAACTATAAAAATCAGTACATTTCTCAGTAGAATCCAGAATCTGCTTCTCTTAGGGGGAAAAAAAATCAAGATTTGGCGGCTCTTGGTCTCCATTGTTGTTGTTAGATGCTGTAGAATCTGCATTAAAAAAAAGACAACCAACAAAAAACCAAACCTGTTGCTGTCGAGTCAATTCTGACTCATGACGACCCTATAGAACAGAGTAGAACTGCCCCATTGGACTTCCAAAGAATGGCTGGTGGATTCAAACTGCCAACCTTTTGGTTGACAGCCAATCTAACCACTGTACCACATATCAACACTAAAACAAAAACAACGATAAACCTGTGGCCATAGAGTCGGTTCCAACTCATGATGGCCCCATGTGTGTCAGAGTAGAATTGCTCTATAGGGTTTTCTTGACTGTAAGCTTTATGGAAGCAGATCACCTGGCCTTTTTTCCGCGGGATCACTGGGTGGGTTTGAACCGCCAACCTTTAGGTTAGCAGTTGACCGCAAACTGCACCACCTAGGGCCATGACAACAATACATGTGCTCAGTAGCACCTGTGGGAGTGACTGAGACGGTGGCCCATCTAGACAGGGGCTGCCCCACCACAGTTTCCATCTCCTGCTTCACTCCTGTTGCCTGCTAGGCCTCTGCAGACACCGTAGCTGGCAGGCAGCACTGATGGCCTCTCTTCTTTTATTCTTATAGCAAACCTGTGAGTGGGTAAGGCCGGCGCACGCTGCCCACAGCTTGTCTGTGCAGAGTTGAATTTAAATCCCAAGTCCTTGGACTTGGGTGGTACTTGGCTTGGTGCCATGTTACCCAGTGCTTTGCTGAGATGGAGAGAAAAACACAAAGGAGTTGGTAGTCTTCCCAGCAAACCCTCACGTCACCCTGTGGGCCAGGAACCCATTCCAAATGCTTTACACATGAACCCTTTTAATCACAATTCTGCAAGGTAGGTGCTATTGTTGGCCCCCGACTTGTGGCAACCCCATGCACCATGGGACCAAACGCTGCCAGGTCCTGCACCATCCCCATGATCAGTTGTGGATCCATAGGGTTTTCATTGGTTGATTTTCGGAAGTAGGTATCCAAGCTTTCCCTCCTAGTCCATGTTTGTCTGGAAGCTCTGCTGAAACTTGTTCAGCGTCATAGCAACATGCAAGTCCCCAATGACAGACGGGTGGTAGCTGTGCATGAGATGCATCGGCTGGGAATCAAACCTAGGTTTCCTGCATGGAAGGTGAGAATTCTACTGCTGAAACACCATTTCCTGCAGGTGCTATTAGTATCCCCATTTCACAGATAGGGAAGCTGCAGCTAAGAGGTTAAATAATTGCCTAAAGCTACACGGCTTACAAGTGTTAGTGAACCCAGGCAGTCAGGCTTTAGAGTCTCCTCATTTCCATACTGACTCTTACCCCTTCTGTGGCGGCTGCTCAGCCCCACAGCCCCCTCTGAAATGGCGAGTCTGGTCTCCATTAGCTCAGATCCCTCCCAAGTTCCTCTCTGCACTTTGCTGAGTCCCGGAGCTTTGAGTGGGTTACTGTTCCTTGTAACTTGTGTCTTGCAGAAGGCTCTCTCATCTGTTGGAGCTGTGCTATCCAGTACAGTAGCTACCAACCACATGTGGCTATTCAAATGTAACTTAGTTAAAATAGAAGTGAAAATTCAGTTCTTTAGTCACACTACCACATTTCAAGTGCTTAATAGCCAAATGTGGTTAGTGGCTAGTGTTATTAGACAGCATAGATACAGAACAATTTCATTAACAGAAACTTCTATTAGACAGTGTTGTGTTGGATGGTATGAGACGGGTCAGGACCCCTGGGTTCTGACCTCACCTTTCACCAGCTACTACCTTGTGCTCCAGCAACTTATGGGGAGGTAAGTCAGTACCTGGTACATACCCACTGCTGTCCAGTTGATTCCCACTCATAGCAACCTTATAGGACAGAGTGGAACTGCCCCATAGGGTTTCCAAGGAGTGGCTGGTGGATTCGAACTGCTGACCTTTTAGTTAGCAGCCAAGCTCTTAACCACTGCTCCGCCTGGCACATAGTGCTGAATAAATGGTACTTTATTCTCATCAGCAACGCCATCTTCTGGGTAAGATATTAGCTCCAGAAGGTCCTATATTCGTTATCTATTGCTGTGTAAAATTACCCCCAAAATTAGGGGCTTATAACAACATAAATATTATCACAGTTTCTGTGGGTCAGGAATTTGGAGCCGCTTATGTAAGTGGTTCTGGCTAGGGGTTTTAGATGGTTGCAGTCAAGGTGTTGGCTGGGGCTGCAGTCATCTGTAAGCTTGACTAGGGTGGAGGATCTACTTCCAGAAGCCTCACTTACATGTGACAGGCTGGTGCTGGCTGTTGGCAGAAGGCCTCAGTTCCTTGCCACGTGGACTCCCATAGGGTTGCTTGAGTGTCACAACATGGTGACTGAAGTCACACACCCTCACTTTCACAGACTCATTGGAAGCTGTCTTAAAGGCTTAGAAGCTTACTCTAGCCCTATTACCAGTCAACCCTGGACATGGGTTAATTTATCTGGTGAGCTAACTCAGTGGAATTTGATTTAGTCTGATTATTTCTGAGAAGGAGACAGGATGCAAAATGGATTCTGACAAAATCGGACCATTTTTGTTGGTGATCATTAGAATACATGTGTAGTGTTTTACAGTAATGCCAGTTTTAGACACAGGGCAACTTAAGCTTATAAGTGATGTAAAGAACCCTGGTAGCGCAATGGTTAAGTGCTTGCCTGTTAACCGAAAGGTTGGCAGTTCAAACCCATCCAGCGGCTCTGCAGGAGAAAGATCTGGTGATCTGCTCCCGTAAAGATTACAGCCTAGAAAACCCTATGGGGCAGTTCTACTCTGTCACACGGGGTCTCTATGAGTCAGAATCAACTCATCAAGACCCACAAGAAAAGAGGTGATATGACTTGTCTAAGGTCAAACAGCCAGTAAGTGAAAGAACCAGGACTGAAGCCAAGTCCTCGATACTCCCACCCAGGGTGAGCAGCTAATGGTGGAATTTCAGACACCAGACAGGGTTGGTGAGGAGGATGTTTTTGAATCAGACGGGTTCAACATTCTTTAACCAGGGTGTGTCCATCAAGAACTTGGTCACAAGGCTGTGCTTTCTCCACAACTTTGCCTGCCCCTCTGGCCCCTCCACTCCATCCCCCAGTGGCCAGCAGCCAGCTGCAGCAGGTTTTCACCGCCTTATCCATGGAAAGCATTATCGGGTCACCACTGCCCCACCTGCCTTTGTCCTCTGGGGTTGGGAACAGAGCCAAGCCTGACTAGGGGGCTGTTTTTGGTGAGTATGGTGAGCTTCGACCCTGTGTAAACTTTGTAGACATTTTCTCATTGGCTTCGCTCCCCTTAAAGCAATTTCCTCTCCCCTGCCATCTTCAAGGCCTGTGCCCTCAGGTGTCTGAGCCCTCCTTGGGGAGGTGTCTAAGAATTTTACCCACGCTGTGGTTATAACCTTGGAAACCCTGGTGGTGCAGTGGTTAAGAGCTACGGCTGCTAACCAAAAGGTCAGCAGTTTGAATCCACCAGGCGTTCCTTGGAAACTATGGGGCAGTTCTACTCTGTCCTACAGGGTCGCTATGAGTCGGAATCGACTCAACGGCAATGGTTTTGGTTTTGGTGGTTATAACCAGTTTCTCTTCATACAGGAACTTAAAAGGAACAAGAGTGAGAGAGAGAAAACAAAGGTAAATGCTGAAACTGAACTAGCTTGCTAATGTTGACACTTAGAGCAAGTGAATTGGGAGATTCTGAAGCAGAGATTTTGGCCTTATCTTCTTTATGCACCTGCTCCCCAAAATACACACACACACACACACACACACACACACACACACACTCCACCTACACTCAGTGTGGTAGTGAGATTAAAAGAGCTCTCAGAGGCTCAGACTTGGTTGGTGGCAAGAGCACAGGATTCAAATCTGGCTCTGCCATCAACCGGCTATGGATCCTCGTCCCCACCTAGATCTGAACCTGTTTCCCATCTGTAAGATGAGGAGGAATATGAACTAGGGCAACGGATTCTCAACACTGGCTGCTTGTTGGAATCACCTGGGAGGGTTTACAAACGATACAGATGCTGGGTTCCACCATCAGAGTCTAATCCAATTGATGGCCTGGCTATTTGTAATTTGTATAGCTCTGTGGGTGATTCTGGAGTCCCAGAGGTTAAGTGCTGGGCTGCTAACCAAAAGGTTGGAGGTTTGAGTTCACCCAGTTGCGCCTCAGAAGAAAGGCCTGCTATTCTCTTGCCAAAAAATCAGTTTCTGAAAACCCTGTGGAGCATAGTTCTATTCCAACATGCATAGGGTTGTCATGAGTAGATGATTTTAGTGAGAAGAGGACTCATACATGGGGCTCTAGAGTGTCTGGAAACTCCCTGGAAATATGCAAAATTGTGTTTGTAAACCCTGAGACCATAAAAAAAGCTAAGATTATCTTTAAGAGCACTAACAGTTCTTTAAATATAAATAAATGTTGTTGTCGTTGCTAGGTGCTGTCGAGTCGGTTCTGACTCATAGCCACCCCGTGTACAACAGAATGAAACACTGCCCAGTCCTGTGCCATCCTCACAATCGTTGCTGTGTTTGAGCCCATTGTTGCAGCCACTGTGTCAATCCATCTTGTTGAAGGTCTTCCTCTTTTTTGCTGACCCTCTCCTTTACCAAGCATGATGTTCTTCTCCAGGGACTGGGTCCCTCCTGATAACATGTCCAAAGTACGTGAGACAAATTGCCATCCTCGCTTCTAAATAAATGACCCTATAGACGGAGTCGAACTGCCTCATAGGGTTTCCAAGGAGCAGCTGGTGGATTCGAACTGCCAAGCTGTTAACCACTGTGCCACCAAGGCTCCAAATACATATTATAAATAAATAACTGAAAACCCAATCATTGGGAAGGGAACAGTGCCACCTGCTGGTCTCACTTTGCATTTGCAATATCCAAATATCTGCTGATGCAACACAATGCAAATTGTTATTTATTGAATGCCAACTCAATGCACAAGGCATTGTGATGGGCCCTCTAGGACATGCAGAGGTGAGAGCCTCTTTCCACCTGGAATGCACAGTCTAGAGGGGATGACGGACATGTACATAAAGCCCTGTGATCCAGGTGGGTGATGACATGGTCCCAGGGAATACACGGTGGGAGCCTGGAGCCTGGCCCACTTCATGGGCGATCTGGGCAGTCACTAGGGCCCTATGCTCAGAAGGACCCTGCACTTGGTTTAATGCTCTGCTGTTTCTATCTTGAAATTCCTAATAAATTTTGAATGAGAGACCCCACATTTTCATTTTGCCCTGGGCCCCACAAATTACATAGCTGGTCCTGCCTGGGGTAGTTGGGGAAGTCTTGGAGGAGGTGACATCTTATCAGGTCTGGAAGGCGAGGCAGTGGTGGAGGTAGAGGAGAGGAGGAAGCATATTCTAGTTCAGAAGGAGGAGAGGGGTGCTCAGGTCATAGTGATTGGGTGGGGTGCAGGGAAGGAGCTAGATCAGGTACTGTGAAGGAAGGCGGTAGAGAGGAGAGAGGAGAAGATGGGCTTGACATTAGGTGGACTCTGGCCAAGGTGCAAGGAGGATGACCAAGGGCAGGTCCAGCAGCTGGAATTCAGGAGACAGGCCAGGGTTGGAGCTTTGGGGGTCACAGACTGCCAGCTGGGTGCTTAGGAAGAGACTAGGAATGTATACCTAGATCCTTCCCCCAGTCAAGGACATAGGGTCCTCTGAGGGCATGCAGAAGAAAACAGTTGCATGGCTGGGCCTGGGCTTTGGGGCTAGACTAGGCTCTTGGCGTCCAGGACTCCTGCCCTGTGAGATGGCAGAGAAACTTGTTGAGGGCAGGGCTGAATGGGGCCTTGAGTCCCCAGCTCTCCATGTGATACGCTAGGAAACCCGTTTTTAGCATCCCTATAAATGGCTTCTTGCTTGAATATCACCAGTGGATGATGGGCTCATGCCCTTCTGATTCTGAGGTGGGCACTCATTTTGGGGACATTTTTCAATTCAACGAGTTCCCTTCATTCTTCAGCCAGAATTCACCCTCAGGGGCCATGAGGGCCTTTGAACAAGACTCTCCCTTACCCTTCACCTTGGTTTTCAGCCTGCTGATGGCAGACAACAGAACTTAGCTGAGACTATGGGAAACCTAAAGAACAAACCTCATTTCCTCCCTTCTGGGAAGCATCAGCTTCCTCTTTCTCATGGGGCTTCCTCTTCTTCTAGGGAAGGAGGTTTGCAGGAAATGAGCCCTTCCTCAGAGGTCAAGCAGGGCCCAGGGAGCTACAGCCCTGACTCCACATTTCAGGCCACTTCCTCCCATGCAGCACCACCAGGGGCTGGTACAGGCACCTGGCACCCGTGGTAGCTGTAATCTTGGTTCTAGCAACCCAAGCCAGGACCTTGTCGATTTCTTTGCTGCCCTGTAAAGCACAGTCCAGGCAGAGTGGAATGATTCCATCCCTGGGTCCCATGCAGGAAAGCCCTTCTCTCAACCAGGTTGTCACCCAGTCAATCCCAGGGGTTTTGCCTGGGATTGTCTTGGGGAAGCTTAGTTCTGAAGGAGTTTTGTGTTGGCCTCTGGGCCTGGGGTACATCCTTGCTTGGATTGGAGGGGGAGCTGGTAGGCTAACACACTCCCAGAGTTGACAGGTGGCCCCAAGGACAGGAACAGAGACTCGAAGATGCTAGCTGCTTCTAAACCTGTTTCCTTCTCCAGAAGGAGTTGAAAAATTGAAAAGGTAGGTTCTCTGCTCCATAGGCTGGGGCCCCTTTTTCTTGGGGGAGGGGGAGGTGAGCAGGGGATGGTGGGGAGGGTGGGGAGGTGTGTGCTGGGGAACCACAGTCCTTGAGGAGGTGGGTCACACAGATCAGCTACTGCCTTGGCTGGGGTTGAGTGCAGCCAGCAGAGGGATCCCTGATCCTCAGGCTGGCATCCTACTGGGCCTGGGAGAGAAGTACCCGGTGGATAGTTAGACAGCAAGATGTGACCACTGTCCCAGCCACCTGCCCGGTCACCAAAACTGTGGGCCAGAGAGCAAACACACAGGACACTGTGGGGGCTCCGGCCAGAGGGAGTGCAGGGAGAGGTGGGTCCTGTGCTCCAGAGTGGAACCCAGTCCTCCATGGCAAGACGCCCACGCTGCAGGAGGGACCCAGTACTCCACATGGTGTTCCAGGTGGCACCTGGTGTGCCAGGTGAGAACCAGTGATCTAGGTGGGACCTAGTGTCCAGGCAGGACCTGGCACTCCAGGCCATGCCAGCCATGTGTCCCAGCCTGTGCTTCATGATGGCATGTGGGAACCGACACATGCCTCAGAGTCAATGTCCCAGGCATGGCTCCTCAACGTGTGTGAAATAGTGTGTAAGACACAGGGAGAGATCGAGAGAAACAAAGATGGAGGAACGGTGACACAGAAACAGAGAGATCTACAAAGTTACGAAGGCAAAGAGAGAGGTGAGAGAGAGAGCAAGTGAGGCGGAGACAAAGACCGGAGAGCCGGAGAGCCACGCCACTTGGACACAGAGCATCTTGAGCCTGTGTCTTCACGTCTGTATAAGGGGAAGAGACAATGACGGTGTAAGACCAGCAGGGCCTGCTTTCTATGGCGGGGGTCTTCTGCCAGGCTTCGGGCCTTGCCTCGGCAGCAAAGGGGCAGGTGAACTGGGAGTGCGCTGGCCCTAGGGCCCAGAAAAGCGACCCCACACAGGCCTGGGCGCAGGCGTCAGCCGGGAGGGCAGTGGGGCATCCTGGCCGCCTAGGTCTGGATGAAGAGGTGGAAGTTGGTGCGCGTGAACTCGTGGTGAATGCTCTCCAGGAGCGCGTCGGCGTCGGCGTTGGGCTCGGGGGCGCCCGGGGGCCCTGGCCGCGCGCTGTACTCGGGGGTGTAGGTGAAGGAGAAGGCGCTCGCATAGAAGAGCCTGTCTTCGCGCACCAGGCTCACCGGCACTGTGATTGGCGTGCGCAGCCAGCGCCAGTCGCTGCCGAAGGCGGCCACGTCAGGCACCACGCACACCAAGCACCGCGGACTCCTGGGGGTTGGGCACGGGGTTAGGGCTGCAGTGACCCCTGATGACATGTAAGACCCTTGCCCCCGGGCCCAAAGGAGGCTGCCGCCCATCCCTATACCTGTACATGGTTTCGGCCTCCACATCGCCGAACCACACCTTCAGCCCCGCGTGGAAGTTCTCACCATGGAGCTCCAGCGTGGCCACGTCGCCCCCGCCGCTCAGCTGGTGGAGAATGGCCACATGGTGGGGGGAAGGGTAGGCCCAGAAGCCCGCTGGCATCCTTCACCAGCACCCCCACCCCCAGCACAGGCAGGGCCCACGCCTGCCAGTGCCCGAATTCACCTCGAGGGTGCTGATGAGGGGCACGGGAGTGACCGGCTCCCGCGTGCAGGCCAGGCTGGTGCTGAAGGAGAATTCCACTGACTCGGTGCCGATGATGGTCCAGCAAGAGCTGTCGTTGAGAAGGGCTCTGTTCGCCTCCTTGGGGCAGGGGGAGGCCTGGGAGGAGACCCAAGGGGATGGGGCAGAAGCTTCAGGTGGTGGCCATCAGCCGTGGGTGGGGGAGCCAACATAGCAACTTAATTTTCCTGACTCAGAGTCAAATAAGCTCGCTGGACTAGGGGGTTTCTGAAGGTCCTATTTTCTTAGGATTTTATAGTTCTATTTTTAACATTGCCCGACTCTATGCCCTAACATTCTATAATTTTAATATTCTTTGGGAGGGAGTATTGCCCAATAATAATAATTGCTATCTTCTACATGTTATGATTCTATGTCTTAACATTCTATGACTTCCTATTCTTTGGGGAGTAATATTGCTCAATAATTACAATTATTGTCTATGTTCTGTAATTCTATGTCCTAACATTCTATGATTCTAATCTTCTTTACGCAATACTACTACTTATTATTATTTTTATTTACACTCTACAATTCTATATCCCAACATTCTAATATTCTCCGGAAAGGCATATTTCTCAATCATATTAATTATCACTATTTTTTCTACCTGCCATGATTCTGTCCTGATAGTCTATGATTCCAACACTCCATGGGAGGCAGTATGGCTCAGTAAGTAGCAGCTATGTTGATGTTGTTTCTGATCTGAGGTTCTGTGGTTCTCTCTGCAGTCTGATTTTCTAGGATGCTTGGTGCTGATACTCTGTTTCTCACCTGGAATTGCACCACTTTCTCTGTGGCGAGGCATAGGTAGGTGCCCGCCCCTCCTGGCGGACCCCCTGGGAACTGGAATGCACACTTATGCAGTTGGGAGATAGGCTCGTCCACATCGAGGAGTGCACACTGTTTGGCTACTTTGCGGATGATCTGCAGCAGAAGGGTTGTAGGAAGAGTGGTGCCAAGGGACCCGGATGCCCACAAGCTGCCCTCCCAGCCAGCTCTCTGCTACTCTGACAGCCTTTCAGGCACTGGATGAGTCCCCCTGCCGTCTTTCTCCGCCCAGCCCCATAAAGCACTGAGTATCCCCAGAGTGATAATATGTGTCTTCTTGCCTTGGGTCCCCACCCCCCAGTCCTGCCCATGTGGGGCGTGAATCTGGGGGGCCTCCCAGTATGACCTCCCTTCCCATACCATAGGAGGTAGTGTGACGCCAGTGACAGTGCAGACAAGCTGCACCAGGGAGCCATAGCGGACGTAGCCCTCTCGAGGCGGGAAGTCCCCTTGGGAATAGTTCTCATCAGCTGAGGATGAAAGAAAGCAGGGGAGGAGGATTCCAGAGGGTCCAGGCTTCTGCCCCAAACTCAGCGCCTCCTGCCTCCGGCCCCACACATCACACACTGGCCTTCTGGTTAGGGTTGGCACGCAGGGAAGCAGCTAGGGCTGAAGGTTCTAATCCTGGAGGGGTCATTTGTGGCCATTCCCACAAATGTCTGCCTCTTGGAGTGGGGTTGGTGACAGGCAGCTGAGCTGAGAGTAGTGGGCAGGGCATGGCTGTTGGAGTCAGTCACTGGCTCCCCGGGACCTTTGGCAAGTCTGTTTGCATTGCTCAGCCTCAGTTACATGGGGCTGAGTTTACCTTCCTTGAGGAGTTGTGGGGAAGATTAAATAAGCCAATGCATGTAAGGTGCCCCGTTCAGGGCCTGCTGGTACCATTACCCAGGTGCAGCGTGAAGGCGGCCCACTGGCGTGCACTGGCCACGAAGGCCCCGTCCTCTACTGAGAGGTACCGCGTGGAGACCGTCTGGGAGCGCAGGCGGTTGAAGAGGGAGACCTTTGAGCCCGAGGAGATGCACACTGTGAAGGGAAGCAGAATCAGTGCCCCTGTTTGGTTTGGCCCCTTGGATTTGCCAGACAATTTCTGACTCTCTATCCCCAGGGTCAGCCTGGCTCGTAGTCTCACTGGCCTAGACCTACTGGGTACTCATATCCCACAGCTTTTTATTCAGTACGTTTGCAGCCCTGCTTCCATTCCTTTGCCTGTTCCTTTTGGCTGCCTGGGTATCCTTCAGTTCAACAAACAGCCTTTTGTCAAGTATTCACTAAGTGCCTACTTTGTGGCAGGCACTGTCCTGGATACTGGGCATTAAAGGGTGAATTAGACCCAGCTTTTCTCTGGAAGAGCTCACGGTCTTGGAGGAAGATAGGAACATAAATATAAAACTTTAATATGATGTGGTAAGGGCTGATAATCCAGGAGGCCTTCCTGGAGGAGGTTATACTCTCAGCTGAGTCATGAAGTTGGTATGGAGTTACCGAAGGGACTACATAAGCAAAGACCAGGCAGTGTGAAACAGCAGTGCAATATTACTAGGGCTTGACATCTCTCTCTCTCCCAGGCTATTGTGCATACTCCCAGGTACAGTCTAGTTTTCTGACTAGACTGTGATCACTTGGGGAGAAAGCACTGGGTCTTCTCCCTCTCCCCGCTTATAGTGCTAGTCACACTGGTGCTCAATTCATACGTAGCCAAGTTCCCAGCCATTGAATAACGATTGCTAACATTTATTGTGTGCCAGGCACTGTTCCAAATGCTGTCTATGTATTAAATTGTTTGATTTGCTCAACAACCTCTAAGACAGATAACAACAGATTCACTTAACAGAGAGCAACTTGCTCCAGATCACACAGCTACCAAATGGCAGAGCCAGGATTCAAACCTAGGCCACCTGGCTCCAGACACTAAACAACTCACCCCCTCCCTGGTCCTTTCCTGATACCCAGGGCCAGTGAGAGCACTGCCTGGATCAGAGGCATTCTCTAAGGGTTTCTAACAGACAGAAAGTAAGTGTGGTGTAGGGGTAGAAGCTGGGCCCCAGAGTCCCATCACCCAGGTTCACATCTGGCTGGGCCACTTCCTAGCTGGGCAATCATAGGCAAGGTTTCCGGAATGTGGCAGCCCCTCGATAAATGTTTCTTAAATGACTGAATGGAGGTCCCAAACCTCACTTTCCTCATTATAAAATGGGCACAGTGCTAGTACCTGCCTCGCAGGGACATGGTGAGCATCAAACAGGATGGTGCGTGTAAGCGTCTGCCAGGAGAGCACCCTCCTCCCACCCCCCCAGTGATGGCAGTGGTGAGGGTATGGTTGTTAGTCAGGCATATTTCTTTTTACCCGTTCTTAAAGCTTCCAGCCCTGGGATTGCCACCTGACAGCCAGGGCGGTACTTATCCCAAACTGTGTGTGATCAGTTAGGTGTGTCTCTCTCCCCTGCTAGGCCGTCGCTTCCTCTAGAACAGACACCTGCTCTTATTTTATAGGAGCCAGTGCCTAGCACAGAGTCAGGCATACAGGAGGCACTCAGTAAATAGTTTAAACGGAATGTCCTCTGCCGTGTTATCATCACTTCTAAATGTGTCGCTAGTCCAGCACCTGCCCGACTCTGGGCCCCCAAATTCCCACCCTCAAGTCCCATACCCCTTCATCAAACTCTGCCTCTCCCTGGGCTCAGACTTCTCCTACCTCTCCCCGGCGCCACCACTTGGCCCAGGCCTTCCCCCTCTTTCACTTGGCGGCCCCTGGCCTGATTCCACCGCCCCGCCCCGCCCCCGCTCACGGTCGGTGTTCTTCAGAGACTGCTTCTTCTGCGAGGGCTTAGAGATGACCTTGATGAGGCGGCTGTGGAACGTGCCCAGCTCCCGGCCCCCACGGAGCACCAGCCGCAGGACCAGCCGGAAGTGCTTCCTCTTGTCCGCATCTGAGATGAACAGGGTCTTGGCGCAGCCAAATTCCTATGGGGCTCAGGGAAAGGGGCCAGCTCATTCCAGCCCCCCGCTGCGGGATGAACCAACTTCCCCCAGTGAGCTGATGTCCGTTCCATCGAAGGTGACAAGAAGCGCCGCAACCCAGGCCTCGCTACTTTTCCCTACCTATCCCTTAATCCTCCTGTCCAGGAGAGACACATGGGTGGGAGCAGGAATCGGATCCCCTTCCAAGCGCTCTCACCCTGGAGTCTGGCTGCTCCTCGAAATTCAACTTCTGCGTCTCCGCGGCGCTGCCGGACGCGCCGTCCAGCCCCATGTAGCCGCAGACCGTGGGCCCCATCTCCCCTGCCTGCTGGGCTGGAAAGGGGTGCGAACTGGCTCAAAGGACGCAGGTGTCAGGCAAGACTAGTTCTCTCCACCAGAGGGCGCGCGAGCGTGCGCCGGCGAACAGCCGGGCTCTCAGGCCTGACTGCGTGGGCCTCCCTACAGAGAGAGGCGGCCGGTAGCACTGCAGGCTTAGTCTGCCCTCACCTTGGCCTTGCCCTGGCTTCACCCTCCAGCCGGGACCTGCGAGGTAGACACAGGGCGGGGGGCAGAAGAACCTGTGGAGACATGTGAGCACTGGACTTGTGTATCCATCTCCACTTGGCTGTCTTGTAAGCATCTCAAAGGTAACAGAACCCTTGATTCCCCTTTGACCTCCACCCCCCAACCAGGCTTCTCTAAGACAGTAAACCCCATTAACATCCACCCTTATTTTTTCACACGTCTCATTCAACCCATTGGTAAGTCCTGCCCACTACACAACCAAAACGTATTCAGAATCCATCGGCTTCTTACCACCTCCATCTTAGAACTTCCATCACCATTTTCTTAACCTTTTTTTTAAAAATAGTAAACATAGATAGCCATAGGTGGCACAAACTGTTTGTGCCCCACTGCTAACCTGAAGGTTGGAGGTTTGAACCCACCCAGTGATAAGGCAGAAGAAAAGGCCTGGAGATTTACTTCCAATAAGATCACAGCCAAGAAAACACAATGGAGCAGTTCTACTCTGTAACATACAGGGCTGCCGCAAGTCAAAATCAACTCAGCAGGCAATTAACAGCAACTATATATATGTGTATATATAACAAAACATTTGTCATTTCGACACTTCTGACATGTACAATTCAGAGACATTAATCATATTCATTATCTTGTGCAACCATCACCACTGTCCCTTTCCAAATTTTTCTATTACCCTTAACAGAAGCTCAGTACCCCCTAAACAATGACTCCCTCTTTCCCCCTCCCTCCTACCCCTGGTGACCACTAATAAAACTTGGTCTCTACACATTTGCCTATTCTAGACATTTCATATAGGAGGAATCAGACACTATTTGTCCTTCCCCACCACCATCTGTTTCTCACATAGCAGAGAGCTTTTTAAAAGCATAAATCAAATCATGTTACTCCCCTCCCTAAAATCCTCCAGTGGCTTAAAATTCAAAGTCTGACCCCTGCCTACTTCTCCAAATTCATTTCCTATACCTCATCCCTCCTTCATCAAATTCCAGCCACCTGACTTTTTTGGTACCTCAAGGAGGCCAAGCTGGGACAACCTCAAGGTCTTTGAATTTTCTGTCCCTTCTAACTGGAATACTCTTTCCCCAGATTTCTCCATGTTTGGCTCCATTTTAACTTTCAAGTCTCAACTCAAATGTCACCTCCTAAAAGGGGTCTTCCTTGACCTTTCTAGCTAAAGTATCCCCCCTCCCTGGTTTTTATCACAATTCCCTGTTCTATTTTCTTTCTAGCTCTCCTCACACTCTGCAAGTATCTTATTTACTGATTTGTTGCAGTTGTTGCATTCTGTCAGGTGGATTCCAACTCATAGCAACCCTACTGGACAGAACAGAACAGAACTGCCCCACAGGGTTTCCTAGTCTGTAATCTTTACGGGAGCAGATAGCCAGGTCTTTCTCCCTTGGAGCCACTGGGTGGGTTCAAATCAATGATCTTTTGGTTAGCTGGGAGCCCTTAACCATTGCGCTACCAGGGCTGCTTGAGTACAATCTGTGGGGAGTTTCTTGTCTGTTTCTCCCACGCTAGAATTAAAGTGCTCTTATGAGCAGGTACTGTGTCTGTTTTGCTCTGCTGTACCCACTGTGCCCTGCAGTGTCCACAGTGCCTGCACATCATAAGCACTCAGTGAGTAGTTGTTGACTGAAGGAATGAATGAATGAATAAGTGAGTGAAAGCTGACTAGACATTCACAGGGAGGTTCTGTTATAGACCAAACTGGGGAGGGCTAGTGGTGGTGATCAGAAAGGCCAATAGCTAAGGCCTTGGCCCTGCGGCCTCCGTGGGATCTAAAAGGCACTGAACGCCCAGGGGGCATAGGGCTGAGGGCCACTGACCTGGGAGGGGGTTCCCAGGCACCTACCGCTTCTCGTTTCCGTACGATTTCTGGGCCACCTTGGCGTGCAGGATCCGCACCGTCTGCTCACACTGTTGCTGCAGACATCGACGCACACCTTCCCGCAAGACAGTGGCACGCTCTGGGGATGACCTGGGAGTGGGCACAGGAGCATCAGGGGTGAGCAGGCACCGCCTCCTATGCGCACAGGTTGAATGAAATGAATCTGGGGGCGGTGGGATGCTCTAGGTTCTGCTCCTGAAGAGGCAGGGAGAGGAAGTATAGGCAAGGGAGGGGACTTGGGTGGTAAGTCATGGTCTAAATATTTGGGCTGCAGGGCACAATGAGGACTGCATGGAGCCCACCTGGACCACCCAGGCGCCTCCCCGCGGGTCTGGCTCGGCTCCAATTGCAGCCTGGCTCAGGGTACAAATGCTGCACTTGTGCGGCCCTGGGATGGGGTGGGGTTATGTAAGGGAGCACGATTTCCTCACACCTTGAAGGAACCGGGTTGGTCGAGGTTAAATTTTACCACCCCAAAGAGGTCTTGATGCCGGTGGGGAAGCGCCTTGGCAGGACACCCAGCCCAGCGCGCGCTCGCCTCTTGCAGATCCCTCTGAACCTGGAGGGTCCCCAAAACCGTGTCTCCAGGACCTTGGGTGAACATTTGGGCCCTTCTGGGTCAAAGAGGAGCCCTGGTGGCACAGTGGTGAAGTGCTACGTCTGTTAACCAAAAGGTCAGCAGTTCGAATCCACCAGCCTCTCCTTGGAAACCCTGTGGAGCAGTTCTACTCTGTCCCGTAGGGTCGCTATAGAGTCGCTATGAGTCAGGATAGACTTGACGGCCACGAGAAGGGGCCTGTTGCTGTATCGGCTTTAGTTTCCCTGGCCGCGGGACCTCCCCTGGTCCAGCGGAGTGAGCCAGGCAGGAGCCTGGGGGTTGGTGGCGCCTCAGCTTGGAGGTTTTGATGGGTGGGATCGGATGGGCTCAAGGCCTCAGTGCAGAAAACGTGCAAGGAGTCAGTGATAGGAGAGACTGGGGGGACCAGCAGGTGGGCCCAGGGAGAGCCTTGAACCTCGAGGCTGCCTCCAAGCCCTTTACGTTCTTGGCAAGACCGGGGCCCGGCCTCCTCATCACTCCTGGAGCGGGCAGCGGCGGCCAGAGCCGGGCGCACGCTCGGACGCGGGGCCAGGCCGCCGGCGCCCAAGCCAGACCCCGCTCCGCCCCTTGGGGCTGTCCTCAGGGAAGCACCTCGGCGGCTTCCAGCGCAGTCTGGCTGCGGAGAGTGTCGCCGCCCCAGCCTTGCGCTGCAGCCGGATTCCCACCGCGCCGCGCGTGTCAGCTGCCCCGAGGGTGGCGGGCCAGGGGTGCCGCGCTCGCCCCGCCCCAGCCCTCAGAGGAAGGGCGGGGGTCGCTCCCTGCAGTAGGAGGGGTCTCAAGCCACGCTCCCCCTCCCCACCCGCCAGCCTGGGTTAAATGCGGCCGCCGCCTCCGCCTGCTCCAGCTGCCTGGCAGTCCCCACCCCGGGCCCGCCGCCCGTGCCGTTACCGTTACCTGGTCCAAGTGCCGGGGAGGCCCCGCCCGTCGGCTCTGCTCTGCGGCCGCGCCTCCGAGCTGTCCGGCAGGTTCGGGTGAGTCAAAGGGCCTGGGGGCGCTGGGGGACCTGCGGTGGAGCAGGCGTCAAGCCAGACCCGGCGTATTTATGGTGCGACCCCCGCCCTTCCTCTCAGGGCTAGGGCGCTGCAGCGCTTTCCCCACTTCTGTAGGGACCTTTCCAAACTGAGCCCCCACCAGCAAGTCCGCCCAAACTGGGAGGCTCCTTCCCTAATCTCGTCCCTCCAGGAACCTCCAGAATGTCTCCAAGGAGTTCATTGCTCAGCCAACTCTTGAATAATTAGTCACAGAGCTCCTCTCCTTCCCTTGAGAGTCCACTTTCTCCACCCTAAGAGCATCTCTGAGTCTCTCACTTTAACGCAGGGATTAACCCCTCAAAGGAGCCCCCGGTTCTCGGTTCTCGTTTCTGCCTTGCCACGAAGTCGCTGTGTGACCTTGGCTGAGACACTCCCTTTCTGGACCTAGTTCCTTCCTCTGTAGAATAAGGGGATTGGAAAGTGATGGCCTTTTAGGCAGTTGCTATTTTGACTTTCTAGGATTCCTGGGGTGAGGTGGGGCGCCAGGCGTGATGTTGGCTCAGGCCAAGAGATTTGGGGGCTCGAAGGCTTCTGCAGGTAGGAGAGGCAGGGGCAGTGGTAAAGGCCCCTGTGCCTTGACCCCCATGCTTCTGGGGGTGCTGGCCTCGGCTCTGGCCCAAGTTAGAGAAGGTGTTCCCCAGCGGTTGGCACATCTGGCTTCAGTCGCCCTTCCACGACGGGCCCTCAGCCTGCCCAGAGGGATTTTTGTTCCTGGACTAGGCCTGGAAGACGAAGGAGGTGGAGCAGAATCCGGGACGGGAAGTCCGCGTGGAGTGAGCTGCAGGCCCGACCCTGCTCAGAATAGGCTTATTCACGGAATTGGGGGTGGGGCGCGGCTGCGGTTGGGTTAGGGGCGGCTGGCCCCTTCTGCCGAGAAACTGCAAGAGGAAAATGGCTAAAGCAGCCTCAGGCGCGGGGGGGGGGGGGGGGGGAGGGGGACGAGGGAGTGGAGTGGGGTGGGAGGGAGTGGAGTGGGGTGGGAGGGAGGGAGTGAATGGAAGGAAAAGAGGGTTAGTGATGTAACGGTTAAGCGCTTGGTTGCTAACTGAAAGACTGGCAGAGCGAACCCTCCCAGCGGCTCTGCGGGAGAAAGACATGGCAATCTGCTTCGGTAAAGATTACAGCCAAGAAAACCCTGTAGGGCAGTTGTACTGTGTAACACGGAAGTTGCGGAGTCGAAACTCAACTCGACGGCACCGAACAACAACAGGCGCCATCAGCTAAGGAGGGAAAAGCGGGGGAACCAGGAGGCCCAGGCCCTACTTCTGCCTTTACAGCTCCGGGCGCCCCCTTCGTGAGCCTCAATTTCCCCATCCGTACAATGGAGGTCCTTCAAGACTTTGAAGGGGCGTCTCTGGGGGCCGCGGGAGGGTGAGCGCTCACCTGCTGGCCCTACAGGGTCCATGGCCGCGCTCCCAGGCCCTGGCTGCTTGCTTGCTGCCCTCTGGCCAGTGCCGCCGTTCCCAGAATCCTGCGCACCCTTGAGCCCCGGCCCCTGCGCCAGATATATCCTGCCCCGGGCCTTATCTCCAAGGCCCCGGGGCTCCCGGCCCCTTGTTTGCTCTGGGCAGGGGCACCTGCTGGGCAGCTGTGGACTTCCCACGGCTACCTTAGCCAGAGCAGCCAGGTCCGGGGAGCGCCCCCTGGCGGCCTCTCTTGAAAGCCGACAAAAGCCCTGGGCAGCCCCACTGAGCCCTGCAAAAGGAAGCGGCCCTGTCTCGCCGCCTGCGCTTGGGCGGGGTGTGCGTGTGGGGGTGAGGGTAGTAGTGGTCGTAAGGACAGCCACACAGAGAAGGCTTGTGTGAGGAAGTGAGAGGGCCGAGAAGGGGGCTCTGACCGCTTCGCCTGATCCTCAGACCCGGATAGGCAATTCCTCACTGTGTGAATTTAGGTACCAGCGCTTAGCTTTTCTGAGCTTCAATTTCCCCATCTGCGCAATACGAACTTGCTCTCATAGAACTGTTGAGAGAATCATAAACGCCACACTCCATGCAGAGCTTTTAACACTTAGGCTGGCTTTTTTCTTTTTAAATTTTGTATTTTATTCTTTTGTATATTCTGTGGTGCTACAAAATGGAATTCCTTGTGTTTCCCGGCAGTTATACTGTGATGAAACTTTGTTTTTACTATGAAAAATTTCAGATATACACAAAGCAGAGAGATTAGTAAAATAAACCTTTGATCAACAAATAATAATAAATAAACCCTGATCCTCTTTTCCCTGAGTATCCATCACCCAGAATAAGAAGCTTTTAAATACTATCGCTTTATCATTCTCCTTCCTCCCTCCAGGCTCTAAGCGCCATGAAGGGCCTTCTGTGCTCACCACTGCCCATGTTGCTGCTGCTCCTCCCGCCCCAGGAAACCGAGCTCGGGTTTGCAGGTGAGCTCCTCCCAACGGAGGCAGGGAGCCCCAGCAGCTTCTCCATCTGCAGCCAGCTAGGCCTGCTGGGGAGAGAAACGCAAGGGCTTTGGGATCACACCGGCGGGGTTCTGGATCACTGCTTCACCTCGCTAGACTTCCGTTTCCCCATCTGTAGGATGTGGCTTAACCAAAACAAACAAACAAAAACCAAACCCGTTGCCACTGAGTAGGACAGAATGGAACTGCCCCATAGGGTTTCCAAGGAGCAGCTAGCTGGTGGTTTCGAACTGTCAACCTTTTGGTTAGCAGGAGAGCTCTTAACCACTGGGCCTCCAGGGCTCCAGGATGTGGCTTAGAGGTCACAAAGTGGTGCTCATGCCCATTTGGCATTTACTTTTTAAAAATTAGTAGAAAAAATTGAAAAATCAGGAGATTTCACATAAAAATCCTGATTTGAGACTTCTCTTGAAGAATCTAAAGATCTGCTGAAACTGAGTCTGCATACCCACATGGCAACACTTGGCTGGAGTTGCCCACTTTGGGAGGGCCGCGGGCTCTCTGGGTGTCCACTGTCCTAACCCAACCAGTTCACTCATTTATGTTGCCTGCCCAGCCCCCTATAGGTCCCTGGGTGGTGAAAACAGTTTGCACTGGACTGCTAATCTAAAGGTTGGTGGTTTGAACCCACCCAGTGGTTCTGTGAAAGAAAGGCCTAGCGATCTACTTCTGTAAAGATTACAGCCAAGAAAACTCTATGGAGCAGTTCTCTTTGGTAACATATGGGGTAGCCATTAGTTGGAATCAACTCCAAAGCAACTTATTTATTTATTTATTTTTTTGCCAGGCGCCTATAGGCATTTGAATTTGCACACACACACACACACACACACACACACACACACCCGTGGATAATACCTTCTCAGAATAGCCCTCAGAGGTGTAGGATAGAGAATTTGTGAAATCTAACACCGGCCCTGAGCCAATGCGGGATAAACGAATGCATCTAACCTGAATTTGCGGGGTTAAGCCTGTGATGGGAGCTGTGATGGCAGGGATAGCAGCAATTCCCCTGGGTTTCCCTGGGGGTGTCCTCGGAGGTGAGGCTTTGCTGATCTAGGAAAGACACCTACCCTGGTCTCTCCACAGGTCCCAAGTGCCGAACTGGGCCCCTAGATTTGGTGTTTGTGATTGACAGCTCCCGCAGCGTACGCCCTTTCGAGTTCGAGACCATGCGGCAGTTCCTGGTGGGCCTCTTGCGTGCCTTGGATGTGGGGCCCAACGCCACGCGCGTCGGTGTGATCCAGTATTCGAGTCAAGTGCAGAGCGTCTTCCCGCTGGGCGCCTTCTCGCGCCACGAGGACATGGAGCGCGCCATCCATGCCCTGGTGCCGCTGGCGCAGGGCACCATGACTGGCCTGGCAATCCAGTACGCCATGAATGTGGCCTTCAGCGTAGCCGAGGGAGCGCGCCCGCCGGAGGCGCGCGTGCCGCGCGTCGCCGTCATCGTGACCGACGGGCGGCCCCAGGACCGCGTGGCAGAGGTGGCGGCGCAGGCGCGCGCCCGCGGCATCGAGATCTACGCTGTAGGGGTGCAGCGCGCCGACGTGGGCTCGCTGCGCGCCATGGCGTCGCCTCCGCTGGATGAGCACGTCTTCCTCGTCGAGTCCTTTGATCTTATCCAGGAGTTTGGCCTGCAGTTCCAGGGCCGGCTGTGTGGTGAGTCAGGGGAGCTCTGGAGCAAGCCTGGAACTCTCCAGTCGCTTGGATTCCGGTTCCCACGACAGTAAATTCCATCCCTTCCCGGTGTGGCCCCGTCTGTTCCAGCTTCAGCCCCGCCCACCAGGTAGAATCGAGTTGTTATGGTTTACTATAGGCTTGTGCCAATTTCCTTGGGTGGTGTAAAGCGTTTAGGGCTCAGCTACTAACCCTAAGATTGGTGTTGAAACCTATCCAAAGGCACTACGGAAGAAGGGCCTGGTGATCTACTTCTGAAAAATTAGCCATTGAAAACTCTATGGAACATAATTCTACTCACACATATGGGATAGTGATGAGTTGGAATTGACTCCATGACAAACGGTTTTTTTTTGGTTTGTGTCAAATTCCAGCTCTATCCATTTTTGCTTAGGCTCCTCCCACAAGGAGCAAAATTTAGCTTGCCCCACCCATCTGGGCATGGCTGTTCTGGTTTACCATAGACTTAACAGTCAAGCTCCAAGGCAGCCCAGGCCCCACCCGCAAGCACTGCCCCTCAAACCTGAGAGCAATCACCCACTCCAAAGAGTCATGCGGAGTGGGTATGGCTCCTCCCATTCTCATCTTAGCCCCTCCCACAATGCTAAAGACCTGTTCTAGTCACTCTGCGTTCCCTCCCTGCCTTGATTTAGCACCTCTCCACCTCCACTGCACCCCTGTGTAGTCCTGCCTTATCTTATTGACACGTCTAGCTCCACGCACCCTTGCTGTGACCCTGTTCATGGGGCTGTTGTTGTTTCCGTTAGTAGCCAGGTGAGTTGGCTTTGACTCCTGGCAACCTTACATATGACAGAAGGAAACATTGCCCAGTCCTGCACCATCTTCCAGCACGATATTGGGCTGTATTCTGTTGTGATCCATAAGGTTTTCACTGGCTAATTTTCGGAAGTAGATCGCCAGTCCTTTTCTCCTAGTCTGTCTCAGTTTAGAAGGTCCGCTGAAACCTGTCCACCGTGGGTGATCCTGCTGGTATTTGAAATAGTGGTGGCATAGTTTCCAGGTACTCAAGCCGTATTCTTTCCCTAAATGCTCCCACCTGGATTTGTCTCCCACAAATGAGTCTTATCCTGACTTGAGGATGGGGCCTGCCTCTGAACCCATCCTTATCCAGCTGTCTCTTGTTGGAGGGCCCTGCCCATCTGTCCCCTGGTGATTCTAGTCCTTTGTGTCCTTAGGGAAGGATCTATGTACTGAGGGGGGACATGGATGCCAGCACCAATGTGTTAGCGCCCCGGGCATGTTCCACTGTGCCTGCAACCCTGGCTACCAGCTAGCAGCAGATAACAAGAGCTGTTTGGGTGAGAACTTCCTCTGCATACAATCTTGCTGCTCTGGAGCCTTCTGTGGCTCCCCATTGCCCGGATATTGAACCAACGAGTTTGGAAGGGGCTTTGGAAGTAAAAGTCTAGCTCCTTCACTTTACAGGCCTAAGGAAGAGAAAAGATTGCATGGGGGTTACACGGTCTTTGATGGGACCAGGGCTAGAAACCTTGACCCCTAGTTAGGCCTGTTTCCACACTCATTCTCTCTGCTCTTTCAGGCCAGACTCCCACCTGACTCCAGTCGACTGCCCACACTTGTTTCTGTCTTCTCATTGGCTCGTTCCTACAGTTTCTGGTACTTAGACACTGTTGGGGTCTTCAGTTTGGTGGGTCTCCATACAGTGCCCCCACTCGCCATGCTGCTCATTCCTGTCTCTGCCTCTCCGCTCTCTCTGCTCCTCGCCTGGGCTGCCCTGGCTGCTCCTCTTTACCTCTCTAAATCTTTCAAGGTCTAGTTCTTCATTTTTGTCTCTGAAATCTATGACACAAAATGCCTTGCTTATACAATTGGGTATTTCTTTTTCGGGTGTATGTGTGTCCACCCCCTGTGGGCATAATTCCAGCTACCATTTAAACCCCCCAAAAAACCAAACCCATTGCCATTGAGCCGATTCTGACTCACAGTGACCCTATGGGACAGAGTAGAACTGCCCCATAGGGTTTCCAAGGCTGTAATCTTTATGGAAGCAGACTGCCACATCTTTCTCCCACGGAGTGGCTGGTGGGTTCGAACCGCTGACCTTTCCGATAGCAGCCGAGTGCTTAACCACTGTGCCACCAGGGTTCCTATAGCTACCATTTACTGAGTACCCTGTGAGTATCAAATATTTTGCTAATTACATTACATACATTATCACTCAACCTCACAAGAACCTGGGAGAAAAGGTATTGTTATTCCAGTAACCCAGGTGTCAGCTGGGGTTGTCCTGTTTCTAGAAACTTAGAAAAGATTGGCTTGAACCCCCATTTGATGATCTGTGGACATTCAAAGCCCTACCCACAGTCTCTGTGACTTTCCCAAGGGCTTCCATCTGGTGCTCATCTCTAGCTCCAAGATTCTGCTGAATTCATTCGGTTTATGCATCCTCTCTCAATTTCTCAGTCCCACACAGGCTGGTGGAGTTCCATGCATGTAAATGAGCCCCTTCCATGGTTTACACATATGGGCACACTAGGGCTTGTATGTGTGTATGTAAATAAGTGTGCATATGTCCATTTTTCTAAAGTTGGGGTGGACAGGGGCATGACTTACATCTAAGCAAAGTCAAATATGCATACATACACACTGAAAAGAAAAATCCATTAATTATAATTGAATCTCAGACACCCTTGTTCCTAAGTCCTCAGCCACCCCATTACGGGGAATTTTTCACTGGCAGCCTCCACCCACGTGGTTTACTAATCCTCACACCGTCTCTCTTATTCTTTTTTTCCTGTCTCCATCCCTCATCTCTCTTCCAGGAACCCAGAATTCTTCCCACTTTCTTATGCAGGACACTTGTTGTCTCTCAGCTTCAGGCCATCTCTGCACACTCAAACCATCAAGATGCTCAGCAGGGGAACAGGTCTCCCCCTTCCTCAGAAGGAAGTTATGAACAGCAATTGCTCTTTTCTACTATATTCCCATTTTTCAGATGGGGAGATGGAGGCTGAGACAAGTACAGTGGCAGAGCCTGGTCCTCCCTGTAAGTCGAACATGTCAAGGACAGAGGCCTGTCTTGTATAACTGTGGCTTCTCCTTGTGCCTGGCTCAGTAATGGGCACACTGGGTCTGGGATACACCTAGGGCTTGAGTTGGGAGGGTCAGCTGGCCCAGCAGGAAGTAGGCCTATGCATATAGAAATTACAGATACCTGGGTTCTACCCAAGGAACCCTAGTGGCATGATGTTAAGCTCTCAGCTGCTCACCAAAAGTTTGGTGGTTTGAACCCACCGGTAGCTCTGCAGGAGAAAGACCTGGTGATTTACTTTTGTAAAGATTAACCCGTTGCCATCAAGTCAATTCTGACTCATAGATGAAACCCTATGGACAGTTCTACTCTGTCACATGAGGTTGCTATGAGTCGAAACCGACTCGATGGCATTTAACAACACCGGGTACCAGCCCAGACTACTTAAGTCAGGATGTCTGGAGTTGGGGACCGGGCACAGGTGTTTTTTAAAAGCTCTCAGGCGGTTGTGCAGTCAGAGCTGAGAAGTGCAGCCCCGGGGCATATGCTGAGCTCACCTCTCCCTCAGCCGTTGACCTGTGCGCCCAGGGGACCCACGGATGTGAACACCACTGCGTCAGCTCCCCAGGCTCCTATTCCTGTCACTGCCGAGCTGGCTTTGTGCTCCAGCGGGACCGAAGGAGCTGCAGAGGTGAGTGAGCGAGCACCCCCCCGCCACCCCAGCACCACTCCCCCTGTCTCCAATCAGAGGTGACACCTCGTTCTCTCTTGCTTCCCACCAGCCATCGACCACTGCAGCTTCAGGAACCACAGCTGTCAGCACGAGTGTGTCAGCACCCTTGGTGGGCCACAGTGTCGCTGCAGAGAGGGCCATGATTTGCTGCCTGATGGGAGACGCTGTCAGGGTGAGGGGGGGGGGGTCTCCTGCATTTGTGTAGAGGGGTGGGGGACCTTAGCTGCTGGAGTCCACCCTGACTCGTCCTGTCTTCTCTCTCCTTTTAGCCCGGGACCTTTGCAACGGCGTGGACCACGGCTGCAAATTCCAGTGTGTGAGCGAGGGCCTGTCCTATCGCTGCCTGTGCCCTGAGGGGCGGCAGCTCCAGGCAAATGGCAAGAGCTGCAGCCGTGAGTTATTGGTGGGAGGATGTTCTGTCTGCCACTGCCCACATTCTGAGTGTCTTTGGCTTTGCCCTTGCTGTGGCCTGAGCCTGTGATGTGAGTGTCTCTGTGTGTGTTTGGGGTAGAGGATTAGAGATTGCGTCCTGCCCTGCCTCCTTCTCTTTTCCCTTAATCCTCTACCCTGCTGCCGGGGGTTAATTTCAAAAATACATACTTGATCATATTCCTCCCTTGCTCAAAAACCTTCTGTGGCTCACCAGTGCCTACAGAATAAAGACCAATAAATGCCCAATTGTGGGTTTCGGCCACACTAATGGATAATGGGAGTCCCTGGGTGGTGCAAATGGTTAAGGTGCTTGGCTGCTAACCAAAAGGTTGGAGGTTTGAGTCCACCCAGAGGCACCTTGGAAGAAAGGCCTGGTGATCCAAAAATTCAGTCATCGGAAACCCTATGGAGCACAGTTTTACTTTGATGCACATGGGGTCGCCATGAGTCAGAATTGACTTCATGGCAACTGGTAACTGATTTATGGATAATGAAATCAAATTAGTAGGTTACAACCAGCATTAAAAAATAATAATGAAAGAGGAAATAGAATTTACTGCAAGTAGAAAGAATAAATTGTTTCATGAAACTTTATTTTTTATTTATATGTGAGTACGTGAAGTGAGCAATGGTGTATTTTTACTGTTATTATTATTTTTACTGTTGATTGAGGTAAAAAAAAGTTTGAAAGCATTGCCTTAGCGCATCACAATGTCACTTTGGCCAATCTGTCAGCCTGTCTCCTGCCACCACACTCTAACATTTTAGCCACACTGGCCTCCCCATTTCTGAATGTGTTGAGAGATTTCCAGCTTCCATGCCTTTGCACATGCTGCTTCCCACTATCTAGAATGCTCCTCTCTGCCACTCATCCTTCAAGACCAAATTAAAAGTCGCCACCACCATGCAGTCTTGCCCAGCTTCTCTAGGGAGAATGAATCACTCTTATCTTGGGCTCCCATGGACCTCCGCATGCTTCTCTGTTTTATAAAGCACTTTCCACAAGTGAGGCATATGGCATGTCTGACTGCTCTGCTCTATCCTGAGTTCTTATAGATCAGGATTATGTTTTATTTATTATTGTGCCCTCTTCAGAACCAAGCAAAGTCCCTGGCTCAGGATAGGGAAGGCAGCATTGTGGAATAATTGGAAAGCATGAGTTTTGGGGTCAGACAAACCTGGCTTCAAATCGTATTGTAGCCACTACTGGCTATGGAATCTGGGGCAAGTCACTTTATCCTGCAGGCAGGTACCTATCTACGGAAAATAGCCTCTATGGCAATTAGTTTTAAATTGCTGAATGATCTTTCACAGCTGGCCGGTGGAAACTTTGATGGCCAATAGAAACTGCTCATTAGCGCCCCGCCTCCGGTGCCACCCAGCGCACCGCACTATCTGCCGTGCCTTAGTTAAACGCCTCTGCCTTCAGGATCTCAGATTATGTATAAAATGGGAATAATACCCAAGGGTATTGAGGGGATTGAGAAAACATTTATAAATTACCTAGCCCAGCGTCTGTCTGGCACATGGTAAGCTGTCAATAGACAATGTTGTTGTTATCATTACTAATACTAGCAAAGTGCTTAGGACTGTATCTGATACATAGTAGATGATCAATAAATGAAAGCTATTGTGGTGGCTATTATTATTATTATTTAAAAAATACTTTTAGTAGAGTGCCTGGTTTATGCTAAGCACTCAATAAATAGCAAAGACTATAATGATGATTAGGAGCCCTGATGGCGCAGTGGTTAAAGAGCTTGGCTGCTAACCAAAAGGTTGGCAGTTGGAACCCACCAGCTGCCCTTCGGGGAAAACCTATAGGGTCGCTATGAGTCGGAATTTACTCAATGGCAGTGGGTTTTTTGGTTTATGATGATGACCGATGATGGTGATAATAGCAGTGGCAATAATAACACATGCTTAGCACAGTGCCGAGCATCATCGTTATCAAGTGTTTAGCACAGGGCCTGGAACAACAGGACTCAATAAATGGTGTCTGTTATATAATACATATTTGCCGAATGAATGACTAGATGGATTCGTGGCTGCTGCCAGCCAAGGATCTGGCCTCTTCTCCATCACCTCCCGGCCTCCAAGCCCTTCTCCTCGCCGTGTAGGGTGCCGGGAAGGCCATGTGGACCTGGTTCTGCTCGTCGATGGCTCCAAGAGCGTGCGCCCGCAGAACTTTGAGCTGGTGAAGCGCTTCGTGAACCAGATCGTGGACTTCCTGGACGTGTCCCCCGAGGGCACGCGCGTGGGGCTGGTGCAGTTCTCTAGCCGCGTGCGCACCGAGTTCCCGTTGGGCCGCTACGGGACCGCGGCCGAGGTGAAGCAGGCGGTGTTGGCGGTGGAGTACATGGAGCGCGGCACTATGACCGGCATGGCGCTGCGCCACCTGGTGGAGCATAGCTTTTCCGAAGCGCAGGGCGCGCGGCCCCGTGCCCTCAACGTGCCTCGCGTCGGCCTGGTCTTCACAGATGGCCGCTCCCAGGATGACATCTCCGCGTGGGCTGCCCGCGCCAAGGAGGAAGGTGGGCTTGGCGCGGGACGCACGGCGCTGGGATTGGGCGGGCGCGGGGAGGCGGCTTCGCCGAGGGCCAGGGCGCCTCCTGAGTCCTTGGACCCCGCAGGCATCGTCATGTACGCCGTGGGCGTGGGCAAGGCGGTGGAGGAGGAGCTGCGGGAGATTGCCTCGGAGCCACCTGAGCTGCACGTGTCCTACTCCCCGGACTTCAGCACCATGACGCACCTGCTGGAGAACCTTAAAGGCAGCATCTGCCCGGGTGAGCACATCTGTCTCGGGACCCCTCCCCTTCCATCCCTGCCCCACCACCTATATCCCCGCTTCCAGCTCACCCCCACCCCCTTCGCGGAGTTATAGCCAGGGGCTAGACTCTCTAGACAGCCTTGTTACTACTCATAGTGTGGTCTGTGGAACAGCAGAACGGCCATCACATGTAGCTTGTTGGAACTCGAGAACAAAGAAATCAGAATTTTACACTTAGGTGATTCCTATGCATATTAAAATGTTAGAAGCACGAGACTAGGCAGTCTCCCAAATTAGTGGGCGTTTGGGATTACTTGGGGGAACTTTTTTCAAAGGCGCACCAAACCCATCATTTGTAAATGGAGTCATGTCATATGTCTCTTTAACTTGTTAGAATTCAACTTGAAGGACTTGGCAAAGTGGTGGGACGAGTGTGGTTCAGATACACAAAGACATGTATGTTTTGGACAATGTAGGCCATAAATTCAGTCCATCTTCTTCGTGTGGTGCTCAGCTGAGGACATAGGGACCGACTCCGTCTGTGCAGGAGAAATGTGCTGTTCAGTTGTGTGTACTGTTCTTGGTAGGTGATAGAGGGGATTTCTCGGGATAATTTTTACCATAGAGTCTTTAAGGTTTAAGATACGATGCTTCTTTCTGTGTACCGGTCCCTACCTCCAGAGATAGGTTCAGTAGGGCTGGGCTGGGGCCTGAGGAATTGGTAGCTAAAAAAACAAAAATAGGCTAATTCTAGTAATTAACCAGGGTATTGTGGAGGCACTAGATTAGCAGCTCTTTCAGGGCTCTTCTTGTCCTACTCTGGTGTCCTCCGAAGTATGACCTTGGACAAGTCATTTAACCTCCACCCCCACCTTAACTTTTGTCTTCTTTAACGGAAGGTTAGAGGTTGCCTCCAGCTTGAGAATTCTAAAAGTAATCTGGGCTGTGTGATTGGCTTGTCACCAACTCGTTCCATGACCTTGGGCAGATCCTTCCCCCTCTCTGGCCCTTGATTTCCCCATCTGTGAAACTAGGGATCATTGCGGGACTGTTATCAATGCTATTATACCCAGCCGTACATACAGCAGTTTGCTAAGGGTACATACAAGACTAAGAAATAACCTTAAAATCATAACAGCAGTTTTTTATCGAAGGCTGATTTCCATGCCTTGTGCTTACTACTTCACTACCTGTAATATTAAAAATGGCACAGATTTACAGCATTTCAGTGAATGTAATACACCATCCATTGTGAGATGCACTATTATTTGATTTATTGCTAAGAAAAGAAATCTGTAGTTAGATTTAATCGTACCAAATTTAATTGTAAGTCATTATTCTCATATCAGTGATAGTGAAATGTGGGAGGAAATAGACATGGATCAGTGGTTCTTAAGCATTAGTGTGCATCAGAATCACTTGGAGGGTTTGTTAAAACAGACTGTTGATCTCCAACCCCAGAGTTTCTGATTCAGTAGAACTGGGGTGGGGCCTGATAATTTGCATCTCTAATCAATTCCCAGGGGCTGTTGATGTTGCTGGTCTGGGGACCACACTTTGAGAATCACTAGTTGAAATACACTGTATAGTTGTTTACTTGTACCAGGCAGTGCTCCAGATCTATGCTTTCCGATCAGGTATCCACTAGCCACATGTGGCTATTTCAATTTAAATTAATTAAAATTAAAAAAAAAAATTAGTTCTTTACTTGCACCAGCCACATTTCAAGTGTTAAATAGCCACATGTGACTAGTGGCTACCACATTGGATGTTGCAGATACGGAACATTTCCATCACTGCAGAAAGTTTCATTTGCAGAGTGCGGCTCTGGACTGTTGCTACTCAAAATGTGGTCCACGGATCAACAGCATCAGCATCACTCAGGAGACTGTTAGAAATGAAGACTCTCCTTCCCCATTCTGAGTCAGAATCTATATTTTAACAAGATTTCCTAGTGTTTCCAAGGAGCATTGAAGTTTGGGAAACACTTCTAAGATGTGTATACACACGTACACAATAAAATCCTTGAATTCTCGCAAGAACCCAGTGAATAGATTGTTCTTCTTAAGTGCTGTCCAGTCGATTTTCGACTCATAGCGACCCATGTAACAGAGTAGAACTGCCCCATGGGGCTTTCTAGGTTGTCATCTTTACAGGAGCAGATCGCCAGGTCTTTCTCCTGCGGGGCTGCTGGGTGGGATCAAACTGGCAACCAAAAAGCAGCTGACAGCTTAACCTTTGCGCCACCAAAAACAAACCAAACCAAAACCCGCTGTCCTCGAGTCAATTCCAACTCATAGAGACCTCCTTAATGAATAGGTACTCTCACTATATCCATTTTACAGATGAGGAAACGCAGGTTAAAAATGTTGAGTTTTCCAACATCTCACAGCTACAGACCTGGGACTCAGCCCAGGTCTGTCTTAATCAAAAGCCCGGACACTCAACCACAGGCGGGTGGGGGTGTCTCATGGCCCGGCCAGGGCTGGGCTGGCTACCTTCTGCAGTTTCCCATTCCGCTGACTCTACGCCTGGCTTGCAGAGGAGGGCATCAGCGCCGGGACGGAGCTGCGGAGCCCATGCGACTGTGAAAGCCTCATGGAGTTCCAAGGCCGCACGCTAGGAGCGCTCGACAGCCTGACCCAGAACCATATCCTTTGTGGCCGGGGGCTCGGGCTGGAGGGAAGGCGAGAGACCGTGCGAACCCCAGCAGCTTCCTTGACTGCGCACTGGCCCAGCTGATCGCGCGCCTGGAGAACCTGGAGAACCAGCTGGCCAACCGGAAGTGAGAGCTGCCGGGGGCCGGGAGAAGGGCTGGGCGCGGCCTAGTGGACCGTGTACCCTTGTGCGCCGTCGGAGCGCCTAGGCCCGGGCGAGCCTGGCCTGCGGGCTTGGCTGTCGGGAGGAGGCGCTGGCGGGCTCCCGGCGCTGGGCTTGAGCTGGCCTCGCCTGTTGCGCAAGCCGGACTTCGGGGGACGAGGGATTCGGGGCGTGGGCGTGGGGAGGGGGGTGTGGAGTGCTAGATCCGCAAGCCCTCATCGCATGTTGCGCTAAGATCTTTGTTGGATTTCTTTTTCGTAAAAAAAAAAAAAAAAAAAAAGGTTTCCTTGGGTG